ACCTGTGACTTGTATCTTTTTGTGCATAGTATCTTTTTCCAAGAACTGGCTTCTCCTAGTGACACGGCTAAATATGTGAGATGAAGCTTCACAATCCTTGCCTCTCAGGAGCACCCTGGTTGCACTTTCTCCATGAGTTATGTGTTTGTTCCTTTGGCAGTCTGTGGGATTTTCAATACTCTTCTCCAAAGCCACAACTCAAAGGTATTGATTCTTCTCCTATCATCCTTCGTCATTGTCCAACTTTCCAATACAGAGCAAGTAATTGAAAAGACTATGGCTTAGATTAAGTGCACCTTAGTCTTTAAAGAGACTTAGTTGCTCTCTGGAAACTTTGGAGAAGGCCTTGACAGTAAATTTTCCCAGTGCAACATGTCTTTTGATTTCCTGACTGCTAGTACCAAGGATGTTGATTGTGGATGCAAGTAAGATTTCCTTCATGTTGAGATGTAATCCATATTAAAGGCTATAGGTTTTTATTTTCTGCAGCAAGTGTTTTAAGTCCTCCTCTCTTTCAGCAAGCAAGGTTGTGTTATCTGTATAACACAGATTATTAATGAATCTGCCTCTGATCTTGATGCCACATTCTTCTTCATAAAGTCCAGCTTCTCAAATGATTTGCTCAGAATATAGATTTATTAGGTATATAGAAAGGGTACAGCCTTGATGCACAACTTTCTGGATATTAAACCACGGAATGTTCCCTTGCTCTGTTCAGACAACAGCCTCTTGGTCTAGGTCTTCATCTTGGTCCAAGTATAGAAACCTAAGTGTTCTGGAATTCCCAATCTTCTCAATGTCAGCCAAAATTTGTGTGACTCACACAGTCAAATGCCTTTACATAGTCAATTATGTACAAATAGGTATCCTTCTGTGTTTTTTTGCTTTTAGTCGAGACTTAGCATTGATAAGATGTAAGTTTGTCCCTTCCCCAAATACTCTATAGAATCGACACATTCTATAAACCTGACAGGCTCTTTTGTAGATATTGACAAGCTGATTTTAAAATTCACATAGAAATATGAAGAACGTAAAATACTTGAAATAGCTTTAAAGAAGAAGAAAACTGTTGCTCTCACACTACCTGATTTGAAACCTTACTATAACGCTAGTTATGGCATTGGTGTGAAGTTAGACAACTAGAAAAATAAACCAGAACAGAGTTCAGCTATAGACCCATAAATATGAAAGCAATTAATCACAATAAAGATATGAGGGTAAGGCATTGGAGGAAGGATAATCTTCCCAGGAAATGATGTGGAACAACTGGATAATGATACTTCATACACCACATTAGAAAAAAATAGTTTTAGAACAGGCCCAAACATGAAACACAAAACTTTTTAAACTATTTTTTTTTCTAGGAGAAAATGTTGTGACTTCAGGCAAAGCTATTTTAGACTGAGAACACAAGACAAATAAATCACAGCTAAAAAAATGGTAAAACTGAACTTCACTAAAACTGCAATTGTCAGCTCTTCCCAGACATCGCCAAGAAAATGAAATGACAAGACACATGTTCAGAAAAGATATTTGCAAAATCTATGTCTGATACAAAGACATATCAAGAATATATAAAAGAAAAATCTTACAAATTGTTAACAGTTAAGTTGGGCAAAAAATTTGAATAGGATCCTTCACCAAAGAAGACCTGCGGATTGCAAGTGAGCACATGAAAAGATACTCAACATCATTAATCATTAGAGAAATGCATATCAAAACTACAATGAGATGCCACCACATTCTTACCAGAATGGCTAAAATTTAGCAAAATAGATGATATATTTTGTGTTTTGGCTGGGGACATGCTACATGGTTGTAAGCCTTTATCAGAGCTCTTCAATACATCCCTAAAACAGGTGAACTGCACTGTATACTCACTCACATATCTCAGTAAATCTGAATTTGAATCTCGTCTGCCACCAAAACCTGTACCTGAGAGGAAATGTATATAAAAGATTAAATGTAGAGTTGGAAATAGGACAGATCTCAGTGCTGTACTTATTGGCTATGTAACAGGACAAGTCACTTCTGTAGCTTCTGAGATAGAATACAAATAACACCTGGATATAGCCTGGTTGATATCTTCCCTTGGCTTACCCCAATTCCTCAAGCCCTCAGTAAGGATCTCTCCATTAATAACGTGCACTAGCAATGGTGGCACAGTATGAAAAGCAGGTTGTTGTTGTTGTCGTTGTTATGTGTCTACAACTCATAGCTCTGAACCCTGCCCTGCCCTGAGCCAATCTCACTGACGCCAAAACATCTGCTCCCATTATCCCAGTTACTATGTCAATCCATCTCATAAAAATATAGAAGAACGCGTAACAAATTTGTGCATCATCTATGCGCAGAAACCACACTAATCTTCTCTATATCGTTCCAGACTAATTTAAATCATTCAGTCAAGTCAGAATCAACTCAAAGCTAACCCTCCAATGGGTTTTCAGAGATTAAAATTTTACAGGAAGTAACTGCCAATATTTCTCACACAGAGATGTTGGTGGATTAGAACCATATGCTTTTGGATTGGCAGTACAACTCCCTACCCACTGGGCCACCTGAGCTTCTGACAGAGATGGGTTTTCCCTTCCCTTAGCAAAGGAAGTCATGGTTTCAGTTGCCTGAAACTCACAGAAGAGCAAACATTTGTCATTCTCATCACAACTGTACCACAGAGTTACAAGGACAGGGGAATGACCTTGGTCTGTTGAAATGAGAATGGACTCTTCTCACTTACACAGTCAATAGGTGGGAGGTTGGAAATGACTTTCAGCTTGCCTAGTCCAGGCTCAGATTTTTCATTTTTATTTCTCAAGCTATCTTCCAATTCTTCATTCCTTCCATTTAAAGTATTGATTATTCAGTATTCCTTATTTACCACTCAGCTTCTGCATGCATATGAAGCAATTGAGATTACCAGAGCTGTGGTTAGACACACCTTAGGAGAGAGAGTTGTAATACAGTTCTTGGAAGCAGATAGAGAACTCTGTAAAAATGGTATCCAGACGTATCTTTTCCATTTCTAAGAATTCATTCTTAGGAGATAACTGCACAAATAAACAAAGATGTACATACAAGGATATTTAACATATAAAAGTATTTGTATTGTCAGAAACCTCTAAGTTACTGCAAAGCCCATTAATAGACAACCGATGGTGTATAGATATAACTGAATCCCATGCACCCACAACTATTTAAGTACTGATTTCTATCCATACTAACAAAATAACAAATTGGCCTATAACATGGGGGAGGGTGATTTCAACCTTTATAGCATGACATCGTTTCTCTCAAAGTGTTCTTTTTGTCTATTTGTGAATGTTGTCGTTGTTGTAGATGGTTGTCGAGTCAAGCATGACTCATAGCAACTCTATGAACAGACTACCTGATGCCTTTCTATAGCTATCACCATTTCTCAGAGTGCATAACATTTCCAGAGGCAAGTGGTTTAGGAAACGGATGCCACTCCTACTTCCAAGTAAGTGCATAACAATGTACCTGAAAGGGGGGTGGGGAATCACCAAAATGGCAGTAGTGATTGCCCAGGGTAGAGAAATTTCAGGTGAATTTTACTTTCTTGTCTAAAAATCGCAGTATTCTTTTGATAATTTATAGTGCGTACATTTTTCTGTGATTGCATAAAGCTATTTTCACTTTGAGAAATATCAAGACAATTTAACTTAACATGCCAACAAAATAAAAGGAAATCAGCATTCTGAAAGGTAAAAGGCAAGCCAGACGAAAGGCCTTTGAAATCAGCAGAAGGCTAAACAAGACAGACAGGTCAGCGTTCAGGTGCAGGGTTATAAGGGTTCAGAGAGCAGGTCTGAAGACGGAAAAGGTCTCAGTCCAAACTCTCGTTCTACCAAATTAGCTGTGGTGACATGGACAAGTTACTTGACAATTCTGAACTTCCATTATTCTCATCTGAATAATGAATTAGAATAACAACTATCCTAACCTGATAGAGTTGTTGAAAAAAATAAGGTATGTGATACCATCTATATAATATATGGCACACAGGAGACTCTCAGTACAGGTCGGTTGCTTATACTGTCTGGTGTATTTGAGACGGTCATTCACTTTGCAACCACCACACTCTCTGTGGTCCAGGGTCACAGGACTGCATACCTCAGAGAATCCCAACAGTTTGTGAAACCCTCCTGGGAGCAGGAGGCCCGGAAAGCTGCAGCCAGCCAGAAAAAAAAAGGAGACACTTGCCTAAGTAATCCCCAGATGCTCCCCACTGTGTCATCAATGAGCCAACAAGACTCATTCCTCTCCTCCCACCTTTCCTGCTGGGTTAGCTGAGACCATTCTCCACATATCAGCACATAAGAATCCTAGAAAGACAATCAGAGTGCCAAGCAGGCAAGGACCTTGAAGACTACCTAGTGCAGCATCTTTCAATCTGCAGATAACCCAACCAGAGGGCTTGCAAGAAATGGAGGCAGCCACTATTCAGCCTAAATGCAACCCTGGGATCCCCTCCGATAAGCGTCCCTTCCCTCCCCTAGAAACTCCTTTATAAATTTTCATTTCTCTCATTTCCTTCTCCTCCTTCATTCCTCCCTGACTCCTCAAAAAGCCACTTTTCTCCTCTAGCAGCCCTAATTGTCCTTTATGGCTCTGTGGTGAGGGAAGGAGCCAGACTGACTTGAGGAATGGCTGAGAAAAATAATTGATGGGCTACTACTAAGTAAAATCAATACAGCTATTCTCAGCTTCCAATAGAGACAGAACCCAAATCATGTTGTGAACAAGGAGGGGGAAAGGGAAGAGCTCTTAGTTATTCTCAAACTGCCCTGATGACACCAAAAGTTACCTTGAAGCTCATAAGAGAAGGAGACCTTGGAAGAAAGAAGTACCAGCAGAGTCACGAAGACCTGGCAAGCTCCATCTCCTAGTTCTTAACTGCAATCATGATTCAGAACAGTCATCCACTCTCCCAGGTCTGACTCCCTCCAACTCTCGGCCGTGGCGGGGCTGGGGCTTACCTTGGGCAGGCTGACTGGAGTCCTGGGCTTGGTCCTTGGGTTCTTAATCAAGAGCCTCTGATCCAGAGGGAGCAGATGGTATTTCATGGCCTCAATGAGGAAGTCCTTACAGGTGTTGTTATTCTTTATCAAAGCTTCTTCTTCAACCGTCTGGAGATAATAACCCACACATGTGATTCTGGAGCAGCGCTGCACACTTTTCTCCAGCTCTGTCCCCGGGCTGAGCCATCCCTGCCCTCCCACACTCATTCATTCTCACTCATCATCATCATCATCGCAGACCCCACAAGGAAGGTCCGCAGAATTACAGCCTCATGCTCCCCTCCTGCCTTTCAAGAGCACAACGGATTAAGCAATCAAGTTCTGGCCCCAAAGAGGCCGAGATTAAAATCTCAGCTCTCTCATTTAACTCTGCTAACTCAGTTTCCTCATCTGTAAAACTGGGTTGTTGAAAGTATCCACAACCTCAGTGATGATGTTACTTAGCATTGGTTTGAGACTTCAGTGAGATTATGAAAAATAAAAGATAATTGTTCTGAAAGCCTCCTACCACATGCTTCCTGGCCTGAGTCGATTCTACTGTTTAGGACAAAGGGTCACACACTTGAGAGGGGGCAAGTGGGAAAGAAAAGAGAAACTGTGGAAGAAAGCAGAAAATAGAGGGACAACAGAAAAAGGAGGGGGGAGAGGAAGAGAGAGAAAGGAGGAGGGCGAGTTACACAGAGAGAGACCAGTAGGCCAACTTGTGCAAGCAACAAGTAAAATAAAAGTGTCAAAGAAAAAAGATTATGTCTATTTTGTTGCAGCAAAAGTCTCAGAACCAAAAAAACTGTCCAATAAGCTTCTCCTAACAGAGTGGTAATCAGAACAGGTTGACTGTGAAAGTCCCACCTATTAACTTCATACTGCGTCCACCTAAACTGGTACCATCGCTTCCTCACCTCTCTATCTCAGAGCAAGACCTACACGGGCGCTCAAGAAGTATGAGTTAAAATGTTTCGGGGGTGGGAGGGTATAAGGAAATGGAAAAGATCTAGTGTGGAAAAAAACTGTCTACAAACTTTGTAAATAAACCAGTATAAAAGAAAAAATATTTTTTTAAAAAAGTGACAGTAGCAGGGATGCCTGGTACACCTGGGTCCTCACCTGTCACTGAGAACAAAAATGCAGCCAGGACTGCTGCCTGGTGGTCTGTGTTGGAGTTGGCAGGGGAGGTGAACGGATGGGCAAGCCAGGGCCCTGACACGTCTGCACACCTTCTCCAAACAGGAGCTTTAAGCACACTTCGTTCCTTGGAAAGATTTCTGTTTCTCCCAAAGGGTAAATGAATAAGGAAGAGCCAAATCACAAACTTTCAGAATGAGTTAAAAATAAGAACGGTGGGAGAGGATTTACAGGAAAACTTCAGTGGAAGTAGAATGTATGAGCAGCTCCCTCTCCAAAATAAATAACTCTGCTTGAATCAGTAGCTTCCCCCAGAAGCCAGGGCTGTATTCGTGCAGGTCTGCCAAGAACTTCCCCTTCTCTCCTTCCTCCGCCACCATCAGTCATCCCCAGTGGTTTTACTAATTGCAACTTTCAAGGTCAAATGAGTGTTAATGAAACATCCTCTCCTAGATGTGTTTGCCTGAGGGGCCTGGTTTCTAATAAGCTCTTATATAAAAAGCATAAAATCCCACAGAACTATTTTCATGACCTTTGTCTCTGACCCCCTTCTTCGCAAGATCTAAATCTTACTCAGCCTTAATCACCCAGGAACAAGTTTTAACATTTTTATGTTTTGGTTGTAGACACTTGATGGAGGTTGGGAGCTAAGGTCTCCTGAACGTTCTCTTAAACCTAAATCCCACAAATCAGCCCTCATCACTGTGGAAGTGAGACTGAATTAGTGATCTGACACCCACCCACCCACTTAACACCCACTCCTTCAGAAGAGTGTAAGTTTCCCCTCAGGGAGAGAAGATTTACTTGACTCTGACACGAAGTTCAATTTCCCTCCCAAGGTTTAGAGGACCTTTTCTGCAGGAAGGATATGTTGCCACTAGGTGGCAGTGTTGGCACTCAGAGTGGAAAGTGCAGGGCAGGTCTTAGCATCTAAGAAGAGGGCTGAGGTACAAAGATTGAGAGAGCCTCTCACTGACTCCTTAATCCTGTGGCCTAGAGAGTCCTGAGCTAAAGATTTTATATGTACTAGTGAAGATTCCATGTCTCCTGTTATTACCAATACCAGCAATAGCCACAAGGTAGTTATTATATCAAGTGAGGTACAGTGAACCCAGTTACGGGTTTGACATGGTTTATTCTGTTTTTTCCTCCCACCACCCTATAAGAGCAAGTGTTCTTTTTTTATCAAGTGAGAAAACCAAGGTTTATTTACCCAATGAGTTCTGACTGAACAGTGACAGAGTCTATTATCCTGATCCTTACATCACACTTTCCAGTCCTTCCAGAGACATCTTGAGGGCAGCTGAGGGCTGAACTATTGCCTCATTGTTTTGTTTGTTTATATACTAAGGTTTATCCTCTACTTCTCCTGTAAAAGTATCTGACACCATTTCCACATCAAGTCAGTCAGAAAATGAGTAAACAGAACCAAGAGTCCAGGTGTTTCCTACAGACCCAGCTTAGTGGGTGCTACCTATGGATCCAGACTTAGATTTGATCCAGACCTTGCCCCTCACTCGCTCCATAACTCCATAAGCCTCAAGGCTCATACTGATGAAAAAGGGTTATCAACCTAGCCTGACAGCGCTGTAACGAAGATTAAATGAGAAAATATGTGACACAATAGGGACATGTCATAATTCTTGGTTTTTTGTTCCTTTCTTAGAGAAGCAGAAGCATTGTGCATTCCAGGCACCTGTGGGCAGCTGGTTTTTAAATTCCTCAGTTGGGCTTCAAGTTGCCTAAAGCCAAGGCAAAAAAAAAGGAAATGTAGAAACATTATGCCAGTGCCCCTTGCTGCTTTGGCCCTCAACAGTAAGAGCAGGCAAAGTGTAAGGCACATGTGATAGACCCGGCTCCATGACTGTCTGGCACACTTACCTTCCTGGTCTACACAATGGCCCTGCTGGGTTCTACTGTAATACGCATTCTATGGAAGAGGAAACTGAAGCTTGAAAAAGTTAAGAACTCAGAGATAATAAGTCACAGAACAGGAGCTGAAACCTAAGTACTGTATTCTCAAAACTATGTTCTCAAACTTTACATTACCGCATCTCAGATTTAATCCTGTGGGTTGGTGTCCTCAACCAATTTAGAAATCAAAGTGTTTCTAAAACCTCCTAAATGCTCTATACAGCAAGGGCTGCCTCCTGCTACTCCTAGAGCCCTGGGTGAACAGGGAGTGTTTGGTCTTCACACAGCACTCACCTGGACTAGGTAATCCCGAGGTAAAAGAGGCAGGCGAACATGCTCCATCAACTTTGCCATGTGCTCTAAACGAGTTTCTTTCTCATAATTGATCCAGGAAATCACTGCTTCAAACACCTTGGGAGACAAAAAAGAACACCAGAAAGTAGGTTGAACAAAGACATGTGAAATTTTGAGCAACTTCCTTAATCTACTAAAAAAAAAAAAAAGAAAGAAAGAAAGAAAAAGCTATGGGTCATTACATTAGTTTTTAATCTAAGGTTCAATATTTAAAAATAAATAAACAGAAGGGACTCGTTTATCAGTAGGTCTCATAAAGTAATCACACACACAAATAATATGATAAGCCTGTCATTTCAAAGTAGATTCAGCAGAGTTCTTTCCACAATAAGAATAATTTTAAATTGCTATTTAACAAAAGTAACACAAAGAAATGACTCTTTTTAATTAAAATTTTATTGTAAGTTTATAAAGAACTTGGATTTCCATTCATTCATTATTGTACATTTTCTTTCCTGTCCCCTCCCCCTCCCCAGTACACTTTTTCCTTTGGAACAAAGTTTTTCCTTGTTATACGGTCTCCAGCCCCCACCAGACCACTTTACTATGCAGCTCTTATTCTGGACTCTGGTCATACCAATCATACCTAATCATATATTCCTTTTATACAGTTCTCTCCTTTGTTTCAATGCCACATACATTATTTATCCCCTCTTTTCTTAGTGTATCCCAAACCTCCATGTCAGTCCTATTTGGTAACAGTGGCATTACGTAGTATTTGTCTTTTTGTGACTAAGATATTTCACTCAATATAATGTCCTCCATGATCACCCATTTTTGTATAATATTTCATGAGTTATTTGTTTTTCAGTGCTGCATAATATTCCATTGTGTGACTATACCTCAGCTTTTCTATATATTTGTTTGTTGATGGGCACTTGGGTTGTTTCCAACTCTTTGCTATTGTGAGCAAAGCCACAATAAACATGGGTGTACATATATCTGCTTGGATGACAGTTCTTGTTTCTTTAGGGTATATTTCTAGTAGTGGAATTGCTGGGTCAAATGGTATTTCTATTTCCAACTTTTTGAAAAAGTGCCATACAGCCTTCCACAGTGGTTGCACCCTTTTACACTCCTACCAACAGTGAATAAGGGTTCCAGTTTCTCTATAACCTCATCAGCATTTGTTGTTTGCTGCTTGTTTGAATTTTGTGATTCTTATTGGGGTGAGATGATATCTCATAGTTGTTTTGAAAGAAATTACTTTTAACCACATTTTATAATCAGAAAATGGTTAAAATTTAGTTTAATCTGAGGGAGAGCTCCACCTTGAGCTCTTTTTCCTCAGTTTAAAAAAAAATAAGTTTAACCTGGTTAAAATATTTTCCCATTTTTATAATTTAGCTTGCACGTAAAATTAATGTAGAATAAATAGTAATGTCCTCTGCATAATGTACATTGTTGATGAATCTTCCTCCAATCCTGATGTCCCATTCTTCTTCATAGAGTCTAGCTTCTTGAAAAATTTGCTCAGCATACAGATTGAATAGTTATGAAGAAATTATACAACTCTGACACACACACACCTTTCATGATTTAAAACCATGCAATATTTCTTGCTTTTGTTCAGACAACTGCTTCCTGATCCTGGTCTATGTATAAGATTTTGTGGGGCTTTCTGAGGGATTTCCCCCCCCCCATTATTTATCCCCACTTTTCTTAGATTCCCCCAAAACCCAATGTCAGTCCTATTTTATAACAGTGGCACCATGTAGCATTTGTCCCTTTGTGACTGAAATATTTCACTCAGCATAATGTCCTCCAGGGTCACCCATTTTGTATAATATTTCATGCGGTCCTTGTTTTTCAATGCAGCATAGCATTCCATTGTGTGAATATACCACAGCTTCTTTAGCCGTTCGTTTGTTGATGAGTACTTGGGTTGTTGTATGTATGTTTTATATGAGCATAATTAAGTGTTCTGGTATTCCTATTCTTCTTAATGTCTTTAATTTGTTATGACACACACAGTCAACTGCCTTTGCATAGTCAATAAACATGTTGTTGTTGTTGTTGTTGTTGTTGTTATGTGCCGTCGAGTCGTCTGCGACTCATAGCGACCCTATGCACAACAGCCCTAAACCCTGCTCTATCCTGCGCCAACCGCACCACCTCTGACACACCCATCCCGATTACCCCAGTCACCGAATGAGTAAACATTTTTCTGGTACTCTCTGGTTTTTTTGTGTATTCCTGCATTATACCGGTAACACAACTTCGTATGTGGAAAGTTAAGAGGACCTGAAGCATGTACTGCTGAAGAGCCATGGTAGCAGGAGTCAAGAAATCAAAAGATGTGCTACATTGGGAAAGCCTGCTGCCAAGGACCTCCCCACAGTGCTAGACTAACGTGTACCTGATGCAAGCTATGGCATTTTCAATTGCTTCTCATGCAGCTGAAAGCTGAAAAAGAAATTATAATGACAGAAGAAGAATCCATTCCTCTGAATTACAGTGTTGGATAAGAGTAGAGAATATCCCACAGACTCTCAAAAGAATAAATAATAATTCTCTCTTAGAGAAAATATAACCAGAGTGCTCCTTAAAAGCAAGGATGGTGGAACTTCATCTTGCATATATTGAGCATGTTGTCAGGAGAAATGAGTCCTTGGAAAAAGGTATCATACTGGGAATAGCCTTTTATAAAGAGATAGGAAAACTGGATAACTACGATTAAAAATGGGGGGGATCAAATAGAAATAGCAAATGTTGGAGAGGAGGTGGGAAAATTGGAACTCTTACCACTATTGCTGGGAATGCAAAATAGCATAGCTATTGTGGAAAACAGTGTGGTGATTCCTCCAAAATCTAAAAATAGAACTTCCATATGTCCTAGCACTTTCTCTCCTTGGTCTACACTCAAAAAACCTGAAGGCAGAGACTCAAACAGATACTTGTACACCAGTGTTAACTGAGGTACCATTCATAGTAGTCAAAAGAGGGAAATAACCTAAATGTATATCAATGGATCAATGAGTTGACAAAATGTAGTGCACACATACAACGGAATATTACTCAGCCAGAAGGGAAATAGTCTTAATATATGCTACAGAGGTGAAGGGAGTGGGAAACATGATGCTGACTAAAATAAGTCAATCACAAGAGAACAAAATATGATCATTTAAATAATAAGACAAGAACAGATAAATATATAAAGACCAAAGTGTTTTCGTGATTATAGGAACAAAAGGAAGAGCAAACGGAGGGCATCTGTTTATAGGATAATGACTTTCCGTTTACAGAGATGGAAAATCACATTCATTAATTAATGCTAAATATCCACAGCTGATTAATGTAATTGCTGTCAGTTAGTTGTACACAAGGAAAAAAGAAAGTTGTGTGATTGATAAATTTACAACCAAAACAGTAGCTTACTGAGGCTTCTTATGCACAACAAAACACCTGCTGGGATTTGGTTCCTTCATTTCTTGGTTTAGGGTCATAGTTTTACGGGACACTCAAGTGAATTGTCCTAATATTAATGTTTGGCAAGTCTGTACTGCTCTCTAGTCCACTGTGTAGTGCCGAGTCCTAAAAACTTGCAAACAGCCACCTGTGGTACAATGATTGGTCCCTATTTACCTGGGACAAGAGAGTATGAGAGAAATGAAGGAGCAGAAAGAGGCAGTGGAACATGTGACTAACTGCCTCCATGAACAAATGTTTCTTTTGTTAGGAAATCAACAACCAGATGATCCCCTTTTGCCGTCACTGGACATTTTGATCAAAGATTCTACAGAAAAATTCTGATCAGAAGAGAGGAAATGTAGAAGAGAATTTCAGATTCTCATTAAATGTGGACTTTCTGGAGCTGGATGTTGTTGGTTGTTGGGTGCCATTGAGTCAAGTACAACTCATAACGACCCATGAACAACAGATCTGAACCCTGCCCTGTCCTGTGCAGTCCTCACCGTCTCTCACACTCAAATCCATTGCAACAGTCACCGTGTCAGTTCATCTGGTTGACTGTCTTCCTCCCCTTCGCTGTCCCCCCCCAACCTTCTCCAAGCATGATTCTCCTTCTCCAAGGAATAGCCTCTCCTAGCAACATGCCCAAAGTATGTGAGACAAGCTTTATCATCTTTGCCTCCAAGCAGTAATCTGGCTGCCCCTTCTCCAAGATATAGATGTGTATTCTTTTGGCAGTCCCTGGGATGTTCAGTACTCTTCTCCAACACCATAGTTCAAAGGCCATAAACTCTTCTGTCATGCTTGTTCACTGTCCAGCTCTAAGATGCCTAGTAATTGACAGAAAATCCGTGGCCTCAAATGGGCCAAGAAAATCTTTATTGCACTAAGAAAAATCTTTAAACCTTAAAAAAAAAGCCCCCTGATGTCTTCTTAAACCCAAATAATGTTGTTGTTGTTGTTAAGTACCATTGAGTCAACTATGACACCTAGTTACCCGATGAACAATGGCTCTAAACCTTGCTCTATTCTGAGTCAACCTCTCCATCTCTGATACAGTTGACCCCATAGCCACAGTAACAGTGTCAATCTGTCTCATCCAAGGTCTTCCTCTCCTACGCTGACCTTCTACCCTGCTTCCCTTGGAGAAATGATGTCCTTCTCCAAGTACTGGTTGCTCTTGGCAACATGCTCAAAGTATATGAGAGGGAGTTTAAAAATCCTGGCCTCTAAGGAGTAACCTCGTTTCACCCTCTCCAAGACAGACCTGGGTGTTCTCTTGGCAATCCATGGTATGTTCAGTACTCTTCTCCAGCACCACAACTCAAAGGCATCAGTTCTTCTTCTGTCATCCTTATTTATTGATCAGCTCTCAGAAACATAGCAGGTGACTAAAAAGATCATGGCTTGGATCAGGTGCACCTTAGTCATTAGACTGACATTGTTACTCTTTAGCAGTCTAGAAAGGTCGCTAACAGCAGATTTTCCCAAAGTAACTCATCTTTTGATTTCCTAATTACTGCTGCCAAGAGTTTATTGTGAATTGAGCAAGATAAAATTGTTAACAATCTCAGCCTTTCCTCCATCAATCATGATATTGACAATTGACAGGATGGTTAGGATCTTTCTTTTCTTAATCCATACTG